CTGTAGGTCAATGTCCAGTGGTCCACTTTACAGCTCAGATTTATTATGAGTACATTTCCTTTCTTTTTTTGGTCGATTTAAGTGAAGTTATTTGAAGTTATGAAAGTTATACAATAATACGAGAGACTGGATATAGAGGTTAGTATTTTTAAATATTTTTTGTATTTGTTGGTAATGCAAATAAGATGATATTTTATTACATAATTAAAATGTCTGTATGGGTGTGTGTTTGGAGATTTGTCTTGAAAGCTAGTCCTTAGACACAGAAAAGATGTTGATCTACATTAATATTAATTACTAATTTAGTACAAGTCCCTATTAAACATGTTTAATCGGTTTAAATATGTTAAATCGGTTTAAGCATGTTTAAATGCTTTGAGTATTTATCATTTAATTAGGTAAATGTTTTGTTTTATTTGAAAATACAGTAATCTATTGCGAAGAGGACTTAGTTTAGTTACCATGTTTTCTTATAATATATATGATAACTTTATTAATATGTGATATTTTTGGGTTTGATTATTTTGTACAGTTATGATATTTGATATGTATTTTTACGAAAGTTTCGTAAGATTTATACTACATAGAAAAAGTCTCTCGACGAAAAAGAAAAAGTAGTTAGAGAACATTCAAGATGACATCAAAAATTCATGAAATGTCATTGTATTACATATTGTAAACAAGTTGGTCTTTAATAAAGTTAATTATCAAGAAGTGTACCATTGGTGACAGCGGTGGTATTGAATAAATAACACACAATTGTGAATGGTTAATACGAGATCTACCGAAGAAATAAGTCTCCGGAGGACCACAGTTAAATAGAAAGAATATAATTATTAGACCTCGCTGGAAAGCCTTAGTCAAAGAGTCAAAAAAGAAAGATAATGACTTAAGAGTCATACGACAATGGCTTAAAAATGGAGTAACACCTATTTGGAAGAGAAATAAGCAAATAAAATGGTACTATAAAGGCGTACTGGGCCCAGTGGGAATCTCTGTATTTTTTCAATGGTCTATTGTATCCGAAGTGGGAGAGTCTTGATGGAGTACGTACAGTGCAACAAATGGTACTGAAAAAATCACACATTAAAAGTGTATTACAAGAACTTCATAGGAGTCTTTCGGGAGGACATTTCTGAGTTAAAATAACACTTGCTAGAGTTCGAGACAGATTTTACTGGATCAATTCCCGTCGAGATGTAGAAGATTGGTGTAAGAAATTTAATTTATATAATGGTAGAAAATGCCCTAGAACAAGAAGTTGTGATGAAATGGCACTATATATTTCCGGAGAACTTTTGAACGACTTGCAGTGGATATTTCCGGTCCACTTCCGATGACTGAGAGAGGAGACAAGTACCTACTTAATGGTCGCTATGTATTATTTTTCAGAATAGCCTGAAATTATTACTCTTCATAATCAATAAGCGACTACAGTAGCAGAATCATTCATAACACACGTCGTATCTAAACATGGAGTTCCTTTAGAGTTGCATTCTGATCAAGGACGAAATTTCGAATTAGAATTATGGCAAGAATTCATAAAAATCATATTTATAAAACTATTAAGAAAACTCGCATTACACCTCTTCATCCTCAATTAGACGGAATGGTTAAAAGATATAATATAACTGTTTGTCAATACCTTTCAAATTTCGTGAAATTCATAAAGATTGGGATACTTTAATGACTCTATTTCTGTTAGTCATAGAAGTTCCGAACATAAAAAACTAGTTATTTCCTATCGATTATGATCACTGGAAGAGAAATAAAGCTTCCTCAAGATCTTGTTTTTTTGAAGATTGCCTCCCTGCTAAGAAGAACGTTCATACCTCATGTACACTGAAAAGTTGAATAAAAAATTGGAAAAAAGTCTATGAATTTAGCCCGAAAATTTAAACTTTTACTTTAAAGCTTTAAAGTGATAAAGCTATGGTCAGGTCGACATGATACAACTTTCGAAAGAGGTGACGCGAAAATAAACGATCTGATAAACCTCATCTAGTTTTCAGCTATAAGTAAACCCAAGGAAGTTCATATCGAGAGACTAGCTCCATACCATGAAAAATGATCCACCCTGTTGGCTTCAATCGATCACTCATAGTGCAATTATTCAAGGTGAATAACTATAAAGCAGAGAGCAGTGTTACGAAAGTTTTGTAAGATTTATTTTTTTTTAAACCTATTCTCTATCCTTCCATTGTTGGATATAGGTCTCCCCCAGTTCTCTCCATCTTTCCCTATCTTGAGCTGTTCTCTGCCATGTGGGACCTCCTTGTTTCCTGATGTCATCTTTCCACCTCATCTGTGGTCTGCCTCTTGATCTCTTTGCATTGTATGGACGCCACTTTCTGATGGCATTGTTCCATCGTCCGTCTTGGAGACGTTCATTGTGTCCAGCCCATTTCCATTTCAGTTTTGCTGCTTGTTCTATCGCGTCTACTATCTTTGTTCTGGTTCTGATCCACTGGTTACGTTTTCTATCTCTAAGTGACAGATACACGTAAGATTTATACCACATAGGAAAGAAAAAGTCCCTAGAAAGGTCCCTAAAGAAACATTTAAAAATTTAAAATTTTATGTTGTACTAATAGTTGACATCCATGTCTGATATTGGTTACTAACATATTATGTCAGTACTGGGTCCAAATAATATATGTTTCATAATTTAGATTTTCTTTGTATTTCAGTTGACAATGCTGAAAAAATATTCTAATAAGATATTACGACAAGTTCTTACAGATATTCACAACGGAATACTTATTGCCACAACAAGCAAAAAATATGGTATCCCAAGAACTACATTAATATATAAAAAAAAAGTGGTAAATACCCTAGAAAATGCAGAAAGTGAGCTGCTACAAATTTAACCCCTGATGAAGAAAATCTGTTGGTCAAATGGTTATTTTATATTTCTTATCGTGGTTTTCCAGCAACAAAGCTTCAACTCGTTGAATTTTCAAACTTAACAAACGTGAAAACAATTTCAAAAATAGAAGTCCTGACCAAAAGTTTTATTCTTGCTTTGTACAAAGACATCCAGAGTTGACACATAGAGTCGCGCAAAACCTAACCACCGTGAGGTCATCTGTCAATGAAGAAAATTTACGCCGCTGCTTTAGGGATATTAAGTCGTCCCTTGAAGAGAATAATTAATACGACATTTTTAATGATCTTAGTATTCAATGCTAATGAGTCAGCTTTTTATATGAATCCTAAAGGAAGCCGAGTTCTTACACGCAAGGGAGATTTCACTGTCTAAAGCCATCTAATAAATTATGAGAAAGAGTGCCTTACTGTTCTTATGGCAGCAAACGCAGCAGGAAACATTGCCCCAGACATGGTGATGTTTTCTTATAAAAGAATTCTACCGGGTATATCTGCTTCTATGCCAAAATGTTTTGCAGGTGGTAAAAGTGAAAGTGGATGGATGAGCGCGGAATTTTTCTCTGAGTATATAACAAACGTTTTTTATCCTTAGGCTGTGAAAAATGAAATTGAGTTTCCAAGTATATTTTTCATTGATGGACATTATAATAACTTGACTTTGCCTCTTAGTCATTTCTATACTAAAAGAAAAATCATTCTTACTGCATTGCATCCTAATTAGATACATATTACGCAGCCGATGGATGCAGCAGTTTTTAGACCCCTAAAAAATGTCTGGAGAAATGAAGTAAATAATTGGAGAATACAAAACAATGGTTCAAAATTAAGAAGAATTTTGGACCAGTTCTAAAAAATGACATAGAAAATTCCATTACTCCGAAAATTATATTGAATGGTTTTCGTGCTGTCGGTTTTTGTGTCAATTCAACGCCGATGCAGTCAACTACCAAAAACATTTCAAGTCAAATAATACCTACATAAATTAACAGTAATTCATTCCCCGTAGAAGAAACTTCACAAGAAAAAAAATTTTAACAAATGTTAGAGACCTTCATTGACCCTGGCGTGTTACAAAAATTTAATGTAGCAGACTCGGATACGTGGAACGGAAATATACAATATTTAAGTTTTTTTCAAGTTTGGCTGAAGATCAAAAATGAAAAACAACTCAACACATTTATCGTTCCCAAATTAAATGATCCTAAAATCTCAACAACAAAAGAACACCGTTCAGATAACAAGGAGAATAGCATGGATAAATGCAATACAGATAATATTCCACCAAGTGGCGATGTTGCAGTTGTTGAACTCGATTTTAATGTTAACGATACAACTATTTTAGAAAACTTGCAACATAGTCTCCGTAAAAAATCGCCTGAAAAATATATACCTATTGATGGAAAAATTCCTACTCCATTTAAGAAGGCATTGTTTTGGCCGGACAAACCATATTCTAAAGAAACGAAAAAAAGAGTCGATAAAAAGTTGCACTCTCTCCACTCAGAAAAAACAATAAAAAAACAAAGCGGAATTACAGGAAAAATTCAGATTCTGATAAAAAGAAGATTCTAAACGAAATTTCAAGGAAATTTCAGATTCTGGAACATCTCTATCTGATGAGCAATTAAATTTTCAATCTAAAAGTGGTGATGGCAATCCAGACATTCCAACATTCAACAAATTTCATTTATAAGAAGATGACCATATTATTGTTATTTATGAAGAAAAGAAGTAGAAGAAAATACGGCGTTTGTTAGTATTATGGTAATAAATGCAATATGGTATAATGATATTGTTATTGGGGAGAAGATCAACGAACCAGCAAGTTTAAATAATCGTGGAGTTCCAGAAATAATAAAGTTTTCCTGTTTTAATTAGATATTTGAATAAATAAGTTAATTTTTTTATTTAAATACCTTTTTTGATATGTCAGGTATTGGGTATTTTTTTGGATTCTGCAAAATTTGCAATGCCAGGTATTTGGGACACAACATGTATTTAAAAAAAAAATTATGCAAGTTTTATTTAAATCAAATCTCCTTTTACATGTACAATTAGTAATAAACTTAATCATACATTTTGTTTAAGAGAACAAGAAAATCTGAGTAAAATTAACGTTGTAATATCAGAAAATGTCTTCCTAGCCTTAGAGTGTCAGGTACTGGTGCCTCTAAGTTAAGATTCTCTAACTAATATAAAGATTAGATTAGATTAATTTAAATATCTTTAACTAAGATGAAAAATAGTCTCTCAGTCTCTCGCATTTAAAACTGCAGTATACAATACCATACATACTTCTTCGACTTCCAACACTGTACATTTAAATATCGAATATATTACTAACATAAAAAAAAGTAAATATTATAAACGTACCTAGCATTGTTTGAGTGAAATTTCCAAGTAATGATCACTTCATTCCAAGTAACATTATAAAACATTACAGAACTCACCCTCTTAGGAAGAGTATCTGATTTTGAACATACCTGTATTAAATGTACACTGGGCATGTTAAGAGTTAAATCTAATTGAAGGTATGTACGTTTGAGATCTGTTGGTGAAAAAAGCCTGAGAGGTGCCTAAAATAAAGTTATAAAATTAAACATGTATTTATAAGTCTACTAAAATTTAAAATCTCATACCAATTTTAGCAAAATATTCACCCTATCTCTCACAAAACCGGTTCTTACAATGCTTAACCATTTTCCTCTTTTACACATTATACAATATCCTAACAGGGTTTTTTGAGTCCGTTTTTATTTTTGATATTATCATTATATCTTTGTTTTATTACTGACTCATAGGACCTTAGTACACCCATAATGATTATATTTTTATCATTTGGAGTCTACAGTCTGAAGGTGTTAAATTTTACACTTAATATTCTTTGAGAGATAGATTTACATTCTTGTACTTGGTGTAAAAATTTTCTTTGTACTAACAGGGCGACTCCTGACAGAGAGTCATCCAGCATAATTTGTCTCCTGTTTATATGAGCTGTATGGCCTTTCAGTAGGGTGCTAACCTGGCTATAGACCCCCTCCTCCTTTATCCGGGCTTGGGACTGGCAACAGTTTTGTCGAGCTGCTCGATGCACCAACAAAACTGTATGGCGGAGTTAAAAGAATGGCAGTATCTATAAGAATGACAAGTTTTGGGAAAATTGGACAAAAAACAGCCCAGAACCAAAAAAAGTCGCAGATGGAAACCGTGTCATACTCAAAGAGATCAGAGTTTTTGGAAAGAGATCAGACGAAAGAGGGATGAAAGAGAGAAATCATAAAATTATGAATTCTAACTTTAAGGTTAAAACGAATCCAGCGACACAAACCAAAAACCAATGTACTTAAATTTGACTATAAAAGATAAACAAGAATTTAGTAATAGAATAAATAACATAGGAAAACAACTAGCTGATCCAAAGGAACCGTGAATTTAAAAATTGGCATAACTAAATCTGCACAAACAAGGATTATAGAAGAAACTTAATGAAGGAAAGTAAATGATGGACAAAAGATGTCTTAAAATTGATGGAAAAACGTGAAATAAAACAGAATATAGATATCTACAACAGAGAATAAAAAGAGACATAAAAAGAGACATAAAATTAGCCAAAAAAATTATCTGAATCGACGTGCCAAGTTGACATCACTCCTTCGTATTTTTTTACTTCACAATTATAGTGGTAGACTTGCTTACGACTGTTTTAGCTATCGTTTTCAAAAGGATAAACAGAAGAACCTATTCCTTTCTGAAACGCTCCAAATGTGGACGTGTACGAACTCATCACTTTATAGCCCTCTATAAAATTCTTAGACTGAGAGTCCTCTAGATTTAGATCCTCCGAAATATAGCAAACTGATAACCGGCATTCTTTGGAGATTCGTAAACTAATCACCACAGATAGGTAAATTCATCACCACAATTTTTGCCCCAAGGCGCTGGTTTCTAATGCACAAGATTTAATGTTACCTGTTACACTTCTTGTTTACATCGTAATCTATTAAATTTATAAAATCATCGGGTATCTGTATGGGTTTTTCATAGTAAAATTTTTAATGAAAATATTTGTAAGCATGTGATAGTTATATCGGAAATAGTCCCTACTTCGTTATTTGATTTGCATTACATTTTTCAATCTCTCATTGAATTCTGTAGGGATACTTTGTTGAGTATAGGTACATTCGGTCCAAGTGCTGCCGTTTTGACGTTATTTGACTTTGTTGAAAATAATAGGCGATTTTGGACACTTGATAAATTTAAAATATCTGAAAAACAGAAAAAGCTAAGAAATGAAGTGTACCCATACTTCCTAGAACACGACGGAAACTTAAGGTCGTCTTAAAAAATTAAGACTAATTTAATTTTTACACGCGCAAACATTTACAGTTTATGACATCATTGGCGTGATTTTTTTAAATTTGAGGTAATTAAACATTTATTTATTATCACAGAATCCATCAAACTTCTTAAGTGCAGATTCCTGGCTTGTAAAAGCGGTCAAAGCCTACTTGATGAACATTTGAAAACACTTAAAAACCGAAACTTGGAACTGAATTTAAAATTGTTCGTTAATATGATAATAAAGAAAACTGCGAAGTTTTGAAAAATTGGAAAATCTTTGTGGGTAAGCAAAAGAAAATAAGTAGTGTACATATGTACTGGGAATCACTGAAAAAATATTTTAACATGGTTATTCAGCTTTTATAGATTTTAATCATTGTTTAAGTCGAGAAATTGAAAAAATGAGGTTTGAATTTCATAATAATAATGAGCGTAAGGGTGTAGGGTTGTGTGGGGTGTAGGGTTGTGTTATAGAGGTAGTACCTTTTATCGGAACGACCACATCGAGCGTCATAGACGGGAGATGGTTCTTGATTACTGGTCCTCATAAGACACCCAACTCTCACTTCTGGCTCCACGTGCCACACCCTGGGCAACTGCATTGGTCTGCAGGCTAAACTAAGTGAGGGTAACCAGATATGGTGAAAATAGCAACGTCTGTACCCAGAATGGGCGGTTGCAAACGGCGTCTGTTCCATAGTGGGCGGCTGAAAACTAAGCCCTGAAGCGGCATGAAGGAAGGCAACGGGATACCACCTTCATTATATTTCCCAAGACAATCACATGAATACATTCAACTCAAAATTATCCGAAGGTATAAATAGTTCCCCAATCGGATCTCCGGGAGGAGTGGTCTTGAATGTTTCAAACGTACGAGCAAACTTAAGAAAGACATTAAAGATAGGCACCTGGAATACACGCAGCTTATTTGAAGTCGGGAAGCTGGCTAACCTAACTCAAGAAATGAGCAGATTAGATCTAGATATCCTTGGGATCTCAGAAACCTGGTGGCCTGGATCCGGTAAATGCACTACAGAAAGCGGAACATTCTTTTACTCAGGCAATGATGACCGCGATCATAGAAAAGGTGTCGGGATTATGATAACTAAAAGATTGGTGAGAGCTGTCACAGAGTTTGTACCATATTCCGACCGCACAGCCTTAGTAAAACTTGAAGCGAAGCCAAATAATCTCAAAATCATACAGGTTTATGCACCAACTACAGACGCATCAGATGAAGTAGTGGAAAACTTTTATAGTGAAATCAAAGAACTACTTAAATTGACAAAGAAACATGATGTCAACATAATTATGGAAGATTTTAATTCAAAAATATAGAAGGGCAGCTTTGAAGACATAGTTGGGCCTATGGTCTTGGAACAAGGAACGAAAGGGGCGACCGACTTATACAATTTTGTCAAGAAGAAAACATGAGAGTTACCAACACATGGTTCCATCTCCACCCCCGTCGCCTTTATACTTGGAAATCTCCAGCCGATAGAGCTCATAACATAATAAGAAACCAGATAGACTTCATTCTTATAAACGGTAGATTCAGCACAACTGTCAAAAAAGCTTGCACATACCCTGGAGCAGATGTCCCTTCTGACCACGTACTATTAGTGGCCGTCATAAAGATCGCTCTTTCATGCAAGAAGAAGCCTGAAACTCAACAACAGATAGCACTGGATAAACTGAAAGACCCAGTGATACAAGCAGAAATAAGCAATGAAATAAACGCACAAATTCAAATATTAACGACAAACATTACCAAAGATCTAACACCAACATGGAATACGATTACAAGTGCTGTAACAGACATCATGAAAAACAACTTAGGGGACAAACAAAATAACAAGAGGCAAAAATGGATGACAGAACAAATACTATTACTAATGGAAGAACGACAAAGACACAAGAATAACCAAGATGGCAGCAATATATGAAAACATTAACAGGCAAATAAAAGCAAAAATAAGAATAGCAAAAAATGAATGGCTTAAGCAACAATGTACCGATCTAGAACATTTACAACGACAGCACGACGACCGTAATTTACATAAAAAGCTTAAGGAGACTGCTGGAATATACAGAAAACGAAGACCAACTACCATAGTTAATCAGGATAACCAGATAGTGCTGGGTGAGAAGGAGAAAATTGATATATGGGAAAATTATATCCAGGAGCTCTTTCATGACGAAAGACCCATGAGTGAAGTTTATACAGACGACCAGCTGACTGGCCCTTCAATCACCAAAGAGGAGATAGAAAAAGCAATATTAAATTCAAAAAACAATAAGGTACTTGGACCAGATGAGATCCCGTCAGAAATACTCAAATTACTAGATGAAAGGGGAATTTCAGCACTACACAAAATATTTAATTTAATTTATGAAACTGGCTGCTATCCTCAACAGTGGTTACGCTCTACCTTTATTCCCCTGCCCAAGAAAGTCAATGCAAAAAGAAGTGAGGATCATAGACTCATTAGCCTGATGAGTCACACTTTAAAGATATTCTTAAAATACTACATCAAAGATTATGCAAAAAATGTGAATGGGACATCAGTGATTCCCAGTTCGGGTTTAGGCAAGGTTTAGGAACACGAGAAGCAATAGTAGCAACACAGGTGCTAGTCCAAAATTGTTACGATCAGAGGAAGGATGTGTTCCTATGCTTTTTAGATTACCAAAAAGCGTTTGATCGTGTCCAACACCACAAGTTAATGCAGATTCTCAAGAAAGTTGATATAGACCAAAAAGACATAAGATGCATTGAAAACTTGTACTGGCATCAAACGGCACAGCTAAAAATAGACAATTCTATATCCAAGCCCATACATATAAGAAGAGGCGTTCGACAGGGATTTGTGCTTTCCCCTCTTTTATTTAACATTTATTCGGAAGCCATATTTCCAGAGTCTTTGGAGGATACAGAGATGGGAATCAAGGTGAATGGAGTAATGATCAACAACATACGATATGCTAATGATGGTGTCTTAATTTGTGACAACATAGTCGATCATCAACAACTTATCACTATAATCGGAGAATACAGTGAGCGAATGGGATTAGAGATTAATACCAAAAAACCAAATTCATGATCATCTCCAGAAATTTGGATGCACTTGAAAACTCCACCATAACACTGAATAGTAAATCCATAGAAAGAGTGAGTCAATTTAAATACCTGGGATCGTGGCTTTTTGAAGACTGGGCATCGGACAGGGAAGTA